AATCCAGAAAGCAGTATGGATCACACCGTCTGCCCCTGACAAACAAACTCACGCAGGTGTTGGGGGTGGCATAAGCTGGCCTGGCATTCTCGATTCGATCCACCGGATTTTATAAAACTACCCATGCAAATAAATTTACCTACCACGTCGATTGGCTCGTCTGCAAGCATGAGGTTTGGGTTTGGCCCCATTCAATCTTGTAGCAGCACTTTACACTTTGCAGGTGTGAAGCGCATGCAAAACAGACAGCACGGCATTTAGGTTATTTAAAATGGTTTGTATTTTTGAGGATCTAAACTAAAGAGAGCAAATGGTTCGCATACTCATTGTCTATGAGAGGACGACCGGAGAGGTTTCTGAAGGTGGCGAGATGGCTCAGTGGTTACAGCGCGAATTTACTGATCAGAAGGTTCGTGGTTCGAACCCAACCTCTGCATCTCGACTTCTCCCGTCTATGCTTGGGCAACCTGTTATCATCACAGCCCTCGTGCTTCTTTCGAGTGGCATGGCAACTAGGCACCGAAAGTGTTACGGATGAACGGTTATTATTGTTATTAGAGAAGTTTCAAGCAGTCTATCAATAACGAAGTTGAATTGAAAAGGTTGGAGAGGGTAGCTTTGTCTGACACTACTGGACATGAACTCAGGAGAAAGCTCGCCGTTTGCTCGTACGCGTCCAAAAGTTCGCATACTGAGCCCTCATAAGGGTTATAAACTTGCAAGGGATGCCTTTGATCGCCAGACACTGACGATCAATTGAATCGAAAGCAACTTTCAGATCAGGAAAAACGCCCAACGTGGGACGTTTGAAGGAGTGGCACTGTTCAAGAATTTGTCTTAATTTGCCTCTCAGTTCCAAAGACCCTCAATTTTGAACTAGGCAAGTCGTCTGTCAGTGGTTTGGGAAGAAGTCGGATCTTTCAGGGGTCGTTCAGTAGACAAGCGCAGTGAAACATCGCTAACAATCATTCACCTTTCTGTGTTATCTTTTGCGCAAATGAGCTATCACTATAACTGGGACAGATGCAGCCGCTGTCCACCGAAACCTTGTTCCAACCAAGCAATATCGTTACTCTTTATTACATCTCTGCTCTATGGTGTTTCTGTTTAGCACCTGACTGTTTATGGAGGACAGCTAACCAATTTCAAACAACTAAGCCACTCCCAACACGATCTACCAACCACTTTTGGAGCGTATCACCAAGAGTATCAGTAGACCAGTATTCATAACCAAAGTCATATATAATCGTTCATGGTTGTGTGGTTCCTTTGATGCTGTCAGGACGTACAGAAGGCAGACGGCCGAAAAAAACAAGCTATCGAGATAGAAAGTCTGACGTGATGGTAGAAAATTACCGTCGACCACGTTTGAGGAAAGCTGGCAGCAGCGGGGCCACTTGTGATCAGTAAACCCGCAGGCAAGGAAAAGGATACATAGGAAGTGCGCAATTAAGGCCGAATCAACAGCCAGTTAGAACTTCGTTGGTGAGTTTATCGAGTTTCAAGTCATTAGTACCATGTGTGCATTAGGCCAAAAGCGGGAATCCAAACGGTTTACTTAGACAGGCATCCCACGACGGACCAAACCTTTCGATTAACAGACGACAAACACCATTCACACATAGCGGGCAGATGAATTATGGAGCGAAACACAAAACTGAGTAACCTAATGAACTCTTGTCTCGTAACCGTTACAAACACACTGCAGTACAAGCCTAAAAGACATACCTGTGACAGCTGAGAATGAAAGTTCTTCCCTTTTTCTAGGAAGACTGGTTCGATCATTTTTGAGACCTGGAGGAAAGCAGCACGTTTGTTGATCTGCTGCTGCAGTTCTTCGCTAGGAACAAATTCCGCGGCAGATCCATCGAGCGTTGCTTGCGCCGGTCCGCCGGAGTTCATCTATAAGGAAGTAGTTGCAACGGTGCCTATCGCAACGAACGGTGAAATCCAATTGATAGAAGACGGATGGAAAATGAGAAACCCGTATATTTGTGGAACAACAGAGGAAGTAGCCAAAAAAATAAACCATATTATGCTTCAGGGGTTGACAAAGTGTAGTTTAACGGAAGTCTTCCGCACTGAAAAGACCTTTAGCACGCTTCAGAATGGTGTCCTTTGAAGCGTCATATGGATTATCTTTGCTTGGGATTTCCAGAACGGCTGGCAGAGCAGATGTATGTGCGTCGATTAGATGTCGTATCATTTCAGCAATAGTCTGCACAATAAGAATGATGGCCACATCATCACGATCAACGAATGATTTAAACGCTTCTTCAATAGCACTCAAAGATGTATCTTTATCCACCGCGAAAAAGTTTGGACGCCGGTTCTTATCGAGCTCCCCTATTCCACCAAGCAGAAATCCAGTGCACGTATCCTCATCACCGATGACGGCAATCAGTTTACCGCGAGCAGCAGAAATTGCCATGGTGCGAAAGTGACTTGCCTAATTGATACTCGTAGCAAAAGTTACGATGTAAATTTCCAACGCAACGGTATCTGAAATGGAGTAGAAAAATGGTGAATAAAAGAATTGTCAACTGGTCAATCACGGATATATATCAGCTGTCATTATTGGATCCTGACGTAGGGCAACTGTGCAACCACCGTGAGTGCTGTGGTGGACCTCTGACGACAAACCAGTTTCAAATCCAGGTTATTCAACGCACATACATCCGACCATGTATATGGAGTCTGGGTCTTAAAGGTTGGGCCATAATTGACGAAAATTTGTTCACAAATGTGAAGACCCGCGGTACTGTGCAGCCTGTTAAACTATAGGCTACGGAATCACATGGTTACGGGTGATAAACGGCTTGTCGAGTTGACTGAACTATGCGGCAGCAGCCATTTTAGCAAAAAATGTGCAAATCATGTATACTACATACCAACAACCTTAGTTCACTCTAAAGCTGTTTGTTCCGTGCGCACTTCGCTCGTCTGTTTGCTCCCCCATAAAACTCACACGTATACGTATGCTGCTATATCAGCATTCGATATCCACCATTTACAAACCAATAAGATGATGGGTTTTGGGTTGACTCCTACTGTTTCCGCAGATGTCTCATGTCAGCTCATCCAGCGCACAACCAGCCGTATGCAGACGTTGGTGTTGACTGTAAAAATGCGAGAGTTCATAATCTTCTCGTCTAAGCACTTTTCCAGATCATCATTCTGAAACGCTTTTTGAGGCTTATTACTGTAAAATTCGCTGGTACAATCATGGTTAGGCCAGATTTAGCTGAACATAGTTAGCAACGTGTGGTAAAGAATGATGGAGTGAAACCAAGAGACGAACATGTTGTGGGACTGTCAAGCAGTTAAATTAGTTATTTCAGGTGCTGATGAGATTCGCACATCAAAAACCCGATAAGCCACATGCAAAATTGGGTTTGCGCAGATATCAAGAGCGGGAGGCCGTAGCTCCCACTCAACCTCTTTCGGCAACGGCCTTCTCAAAAGGAGACCATCTGTCACCCATCAGGTGAAGGAAGAGAAATTGCCCCAACTTCCACCATTGGGCTCGCTCGTGACAGGGATTTTTGTGAAAAGGGGTACTATGTTGGAAAAAGTAAAACGGTTTGCATATAAGAACATCGATGACATTTAACCACTTCCACTTGAGAATGCGATCACTTGGCAGTACAGTATACGTGTTTCATCAAGCTACCATTGTTTAAGTGGACGCAAAGGACGGAATGTTTAAGGCTTTCACAACTTGACTGGAAAAATCAACTAAATGTCAGTTATCAAGCAAATCAAGATAGAAGATTTGATCAGAGCCTAACAGAACGATAGTTCAGGCGGGGAAATAGCCATTTCGACCGTTCTGTTCCGACCAACTTTCAGCAGAAACGACTGAAACGCGTGTAATCGATGTGTTGCTGACAAAAGCGAGTTTCGTGACCTTCCAGGCAGTGGTTGAACACCTTCGATCACGAGCGACCGAGCAACAGTATGATTAGCTCCCACAAAGACAGGATATAGGACCGCTGCTATTCAACTGCTTGTCGTCGAACGATTAAGTGGTAAACCACTGATCGAAAGGTCGCCAGTACGACCGAGTTTCGTGAGACAGGCACTGATGATTCCCAATAAGGATGAAACAACTGTACAGTGCTTCTCAGCTTTTGAGCGCTGACTGGCCTAGCTGACAGGACGAAACCTCAACCGAAAACTAACAGACCTCCCCGAACCACCAGAAATGGTCTAATTTCTTCGTATAAATACTTTTTTGACTTCAATGGACGTAGGAAACTCCGGCAGTATATAACGAGCAATAATTCCGACTGAAATAGCGACTACTATGGAGACGTTACAAGGTAACCGTCGAAGCCAAAGAAAAGTTTGCGAGGGGTTTAATCTGAACTTGTATGTAACAAATGCGGGTATAACTGTTTCTTTTCACCATTCATTTTAATCTTGTGAGGGACAAGACCACGAACCACGTCTTACCAGCCTTAAACACCTGAGAGGTTTCATGGCCTCATTGCGTCTGCCTGGAGACGCTGATTACGTAGATGCTCTAGGACTGGATCATACACAAATGCAAGCAATACTGGATAAACTCCATACTTCGGCTACGGGATTTTATGTGGTCTTCAGATGAAACTGGGGCTTCAACCGACATCGCCCGTCACATCGTCGGAAAGTCCGCCTGAGGACAATACTGACTGATCAACTGTCGATCGACTCATGGTATCGAACACACACCTCCAGCATCTGAGAAAGCATCGACTCTACCGGGTATTCCAGTGACAATCGCACGGTGTCCCAAACGGACTACATCCTGGTGGCAGCCAGACGAGCGTCGTTTGTTGAAGACTGTAGCATCTAACGCGGAGTAGGAGCCGAAAATGAATGGAAATAATATTATACCATTATATGTACTAGGTTCGCGCGCCACCTTACTGCCCTGTACAGGCCCCAAAAGGTGTCTTCAACTTCCAAATGCGATCACCAGTTAGATTAAGGCTAATTTGCCAAACGTGAGTTCAATCTGTCTCCGTCGAGGAGACCTAGATACACCTAAAACATCTGCATTGCGACGTCACAAAGACGACCTCCAGGAAGACTATTCACCTCTCTCACAGAACGTCCACGCTCATACGGCCAACCTTTCCAATCGCTGTAGTTTACGCCATCAGGCTGACCGATCTGTAAATATTAGCACTTTTTTCGGTTGATCTGTCGCACTTTCAATCAACGGCAAGGACAGAAGAATAATCTTCCGTACTCCAACGAGAGGCTAAACACGGACTACGAGAAAAATATGACGGGATGTACTGAAAACTTCAGCTCCATTACCAATCCAGCCACCAGCTATTTACCATAGAAACCATAGCCTCCACGCCGAATACACCGTCAACCGTGACGGGATAGCCAAGATGAATTAACCAAAACAATCAGGTTACTACAAAACAAGAGGCCCCAGGGCGAAGACAGTAGTCCGGCGGAAATCTACAAAGGGTGTTTTCAGGTGGTATTAGAACATGCCCACAAGTTGTTTTGCTCACAATGGGAAGCCGGAGTGTTCTTCATGAGTGAGGGTGATTCTACTGATAGCCAAAAGTTGACCGAACTGTTCGAGAGCTATCGGGATAGTCATCATCATCATCATCATCAACGACAGCATGACATCAGTGCTCAACACCGATGCTTCACTGCCGTACAGCCATGACTTATTTGAAAGCCTTATTGTAAAGAAAAGAATAAAGGTGGATGGGGGAGGGGCTTAGTGCTAGCTTAACACAATCATTCCGAGGTGCCTACACCTCCAGACATTCACTCAGGCAATCTGGACAGAAACTGACAACAAGAACGCCACTGACATCGGTTGGCAGCCATATCTTGTAGTGTCTCCAACCAGCCACAGTGAGGATCACGCGGTCCCCATCCTGGAAGGCGACTAGCACCGACAGCACCCAAGCGTTTCGTGATCTCCTTCATACTCCTCTCACAAGTCAAGGGTTGGCCACCTCTCTGTTTACGCCACTCTGAATTGGGCATGGAAAACAGTACTGTCTTCGGCAAACGATGGTTCGGCATACGTAACACATGTCCCAACCAACGCAGCTTCTGGTGTTGGACACATTCTTCAATGGAAGTACCCGTTACACAACCAAAAACGCGCTTTCTAACTGTCTCATTACGGATTCGCCGACACCAACCCACACGAGCTATGGTTCTGAGACAACGGTTGTCAAACACCTGAAGACGTCTCAGTTCCTCTGCTCGAATAGGCGTCCGTATTAGGAGTCAGACGCATACGCCTTACTTCCTGTGCCATCGGACAAAAACAGCCCCCTGAAGCCACGTGGACCAGACGAATGAGTCATCGGGTATAAGAAAAGTCCCCTAGCAACTGCTGCCTCCTAGTCAGACTTTTGGATCAGAGGGAAAGGTCCCCGAAAAAAACCACACATCTCCCCACTACCTTGTGGGTCAGAATTAAAGGTCAAAGGCCCAAAATAGAGTACTGGCCTTTGAAGCTCTCCACCCGCCGGCTCTCACACACAATTCCTCCTCGACCATCGAATGACCCACAGCGATCATCCCATCTGGCAATCCCCTAATCGCTGTTCTGTGCAAAAACCATCGCCCAGAGAAATAAACCAAAGCAATTCCTTACTAGGGATTCAATCCATTTGCAGTCCTCAAGTTCATACTCGATTGGGCAACAGACATTCCCTGCTGAAACCTTGCCTTCCCTCTCTATCGACGTATGTTGTCTCCGAAACCCGACCCACTTCGGTCGTACACCTCAAGCTACTTATGACAAACTCAGATGTTTTACACTGGGTATTTGGTAATCCTGACGCAATGATCCATGGTACCTACGGTGTGGGAGTTGCACTCAACCCCAAACCTGAGAGCGCTTTACTGGCCTGGATCCAGTTGTCTTTGTCTGATTCAAGTAACATCAGTGCACATCGATGCGGTAGACGGTCTATCGTATCGGCATACGCCCCGACAGATTGCAATTCTGAATCCGACGGCGGGTATAACCGAGTTCTGTCGAGACTACGTTGGTCAGCAAGAAGAGGCATAGTAATCCTGGCAGGTGATATGAACGCCCGAATTGAACGAATAAGCCCAGAAGCACGGTTAGGTGGTAGATTTGGAGTTCATGCTCAGCGTACGGAAAATAGGGGGCAAGTTCCTCAGTTGCGCTGAACATTGTCTGTTCCTGGTCAGTACGAAATTTCATCACAAACGCTTACATCGGATTACTTGGAAACCACCAAGTCAGTCATGTGCTGAATATCAGTTATCGATGGAGCGTCTTAAGTAAACATCACCGTTCCAACTGGAGTGCGCAAGTTGACTTCAATCATGTCAGTGCACAGGCTCGGTCATCACTTCGATTTCCGTCAGCGTTGTGCGTGCCGAAGCTGGGTAATTCCGTTCACCAATATCGAGGAGTTTCAGTACCTCAGAAATAACGAGCTAATTTGGCTGGAAAGCTAATGAAAATGCGAAACCATGCTAATGGGAAAGATTAGTTGGAGGATGGGTGGAAGCGAATTGAGGATGCTTTGCTCTCAAATTTAGGAGCTGTCCGTCCAAGCCATTCCAATCGAGGAAAAGAACACTAGATATAGTCTAGATCAGA